AGTTGGTTTCCACCGCTATCAACCAGTTTACTCCTACGATCGTATAAAGTCCGTTTACTGGCAACCTCGCGCCGTTCAGCTTTCTCATCGCATCATCTGCAAATCTTAATGTTTGCAGATTCGTCAAATATTGTTTAAAAATGTGCCAAGAGAAAGTGTCGAAAGTGTCGATCAGGGCTTTTCTATCTCTACGTCGCTTTTCCCTGCTCACAGTCGTCGTCGTCGTCGTCTCTAATGTGGAGGTGCATGAGGTCGTGTCTGTCTGATTGACTTGTCCCGACATAGTCCTTCTTGCTGCTGCCTCTGCCAGTCGGTCCAATGCGGCTGACCTTTGCTCCTGATTGCTCGAACTCTGCACTATTTGTGGCGCGGTTGAGACTAATCCCAAGCGTGTCTCGAGATTAATTCGTACAAAAGTTGAAATTGCCGGCACGTTCGACTCTTCCTCCGTTCTCAATAGTCCAGTTTCGAATAGTTGAGTTGAGCCACTAATTCGTCTAATCGTTTTTGGAAGACACGGCTCATCCAGACTTGTCCTTCTATATTGTCAAAGTATATTCCATCAGTTGTGAATGTGGCTTGATCCAGAGCTTCCATCTCGTGCTCCATGTCCACTAGAATAATTCGTCCAGCATTGCGAATTGCCAGATTACGCACCTTGTTATTCCCTCTCACAACTCTCTCATAGTGTCTTCTCGCTACAGCTGACTGCGTTTTTGCATTCAGTGGTACAGTGCAGACAGTCATTATCGGGCACTGAAGTTTCTGCCACACCGCACTAATCAAGCACACTAGCATTGCTTCCCATTGACTCTCTTCTGAGACTGAGCTTCTGGATACGTTGTTCAAAATACGTTGTCCTATCAAAATCATCAAATCTACAATTCTGCCCGGATTCATCAACTCAACCATTCGATATAGCTGGGCTACTGTGGCACCACCGAATTCCATCACCGTAGTGATCCATGAGGTTGTCACGTTCTGTAAAACTCTCGCAAGACTATCGTCCAAAATCAAATGTAATGTGCCGAGGGCTAGTTGCTGCATATTTATTGCCTGAATCCATGCTGATCTACTGAAACATGCTCGCATGTCGGTTTCCGGCACTACCGTAAAGCTATTTTTGATCTGGTTTATTTTCTGTGTAACGAGCATACGTGAAAAATTCTTCTTCGGCATCTTCCTGACATTTCTGCTGGAGGTTTTTCCTGACTCCGTCTTCGTACCAGCTCCTGTTTTCTTCATCACTTCCGCGGACAGCTATACTCTGCCGGTCATCCTGGGCGTAGTCGCTTTCCAGTAACCTACGATAGAGTTCGTCTATGACTGGCCCCACGTAGACCTCGGCTAAAACCATCAGTTTGTCAAAGTTGTCCATTCTGATTCAATTCGATTGTTTGATTTCAATAAATTGATTCGTAACAGTTTGAAACTTAGAAATTGAACTGATCAATCAGGATCTAAATACGAAGTCATGAGTATCACCTGTGTCAATTTTTCTCCAAATTTGTTTCAAAATGTATTTTAAGAACAGTCAGATAAAAAGACTTTGATGGTAAATAAATTAAAACTCAATTTAGTCTAAAATCTCGGAGACTGATTTAATAGTGGACAATTCACACTTTGGATCTATTCCTAGAATTATTGTCTGACCATTCGTGGTCACTAACCTTTCTAAATCCAAGATCCTATTAACGAAACATATATCACATAACACTTCCTACACTCAACCTACACTCAACCTATACTTTAATACTATTTCTTGTGTAGATACACTTCTATGTCGGTATCAGAAAAAGTTATGTGTATCAGCTCCCGAGGATGCAGTCGTCCTCTGTTTGGGTCATACACAGGAAGCCAGAGTTGTTTTGCTCCGCTCTCCACTAGGAATGGACCTAGTCTTCTCAGGGACAAAACCAATCTTCAGGGTCCACGTGCTGCTTTTCCGTCGCCCTCGTTTCCAAGAAGCACAAGTTCTTCCCTGGTATTTGCGAAGCCTCTGGGGCAGAGTTGCTACACCCCCTTTCACTGGTCTTTGCTTCCATAAAAATCTATGTTCTTCTATTTTCTCCTGAAGTCGGTGAATAATGCTGTTCTAAAACTCATATCCCCGTTGAGAGCTATGGCACACGTCCTATCCGTGAGTATAAAATCGCTGTCTGTTAGTATTATGCTACTTGAGTATTCTCTTGGCAAGCTAAATTATGACTCTACGCTCCCTGTGTCTGGTTTACAGGGTCATCATCTGTTTCTGCCATTAAATCACCTGTTTCTCTTGCAATATTTTAATTTTATATGATTAAATATGCAGTGTGGGTAAGTCCTACCCCCAGACCCCGGAAAAAATATCCATCGACGTCCGTATCGATCGCATACCGGATTTTAATTTGAGGTTGGACGAAGCAATGAACAACGGCCTTTCCTGGGTTGCCCAGGAAGGATCACATTTGTCACTCTTTGTATGCTTCATGGTCTCGCAGTCTACGTCCTGAATCGTGACACTGGTTTCCTTAGGGACTGACGTTTTTTCTTTCAAACACTCTAAGACGCACAAGTTTGTCCATTCCTTCTCGTATGACCATTCCTTCTCGAAACCAGAGTCCGATGTAGTCTTTCTACTAAGCCATTCGCCTGGTGACGGTACGTCTTTGAATGAGCCTGGGCTGCCTGAGAACGTCTCATGAGCTCCATAGAAAGCTCTCCTACAAAAGCAGTTCCACTTTCTGGGTGGAATGTAATCGGGCATCCATGTCTGGCTATCCATGTAATGATCAGATGATCGCATATTTCTTAAGCTGAGGCCGTTATGCAGGGCACGGCATCTGCATATTTTTTAAAGTGGTCGAACATTTTTAGGATCTGATTGTAACTACTGTCTGTCATACATATCTTCTGGTGATCGATCTGCACCACTTCATTAAACTACGATGACTTGATTGACTGTTATGGGAATCGCAACATCCTAGGATTTTTCACCTGCTGGTACGACAGATAAGCTGTCACCTGCTTTATATCTGTGCATGACCTTATCATCTTCTCTCCTTTTGCAAGCAACGATGCCATTTGTTCAGATAGAACCGTCCCTCTTTCCGTACATAGTACTGTCTCAATATCCGGTAAGTAGCTTTTTATAGATCTGCTTTTTCTGGTGCCCCATTTTTGATCCACCTTTCCAAGCTATTTGTCATACTTTCATTTCTCTGCGCTCTTAGTTAGTAGGAGTAAGTACCTCTTAATAAGTACCTCGCCTTCAAATATGTCTTCATGACTGTTCAGCTCATCAGGCTGATATGCGTCATCTTGCATCATAATACACCATATCTTTACCAGTTACTTTGTCTCCTGTTTGAATAGTTCAGGTTGCTTTTATTCTTTCAAAGCCTCAGATCAACTTTATGCTCAGATTTGGTAATGCAAGTTGTTCTCTAATCTTGTTCTAGAACAGAGCCCAATTCTCAAGAACGTCAATCGCTAGTATCTTCCCTTTTCAGTACTTTAAAGGTTGCTACTCAAAATTGAAGTAAGCGGACCCCTTACCCCTTTCCGGAAGGGATTTCCACAATTCCACAGTCCAGTCTGCAGCTAAAGCTTCTGGAATTCGCAATTGTAAGCGGATTCCGCGCAACCTAAGTGATTTTGCAAATGTTAGTGATATCCGCCGATTTTGTAAATTGTAAGTGGATGCTGCAATTTTTGTTTTTAAATTGAACTTAACCAATTCTTGCATTCGCACAATTAAAAGCTAATCTGCTAATGTTAACTAGCACTGCGGAATTTAAAAACATGACTCAATTATTTTCAGCGGAGTCCGCGAAATTTATTTAAATCATTGATTAACTAAATCGAAAGGTGTACCAGCTAATTTTTAAATCAGTTGACTGGTTTAGAAACAGCAATCCATGAATTATTTTTTTTCAGTTTGTTTAATTGGCAGGAATTGCGACTGAAGTTAATGGGTAGTTTAGCAAAAAATGAGATCGAAATTAGAAGTGAATTGAAGCAGGAATTGTGATCAAAGTTTGGGGGTAAGCTGGTAGGAGTTTTGCTCGAAGTTAATGGGTAGTTCTGCAGAAAATGAGATCGAAATTAGAAGTAAATTGAAGCAGGAATTGTGATCAAAGTTTGGGGGTAAGCTGGTAGGAGTTTTGCTCGAAGTTAATGGGTAGTTCTGCAGAAAATGAGATCGAAATTAGAAGTAAATTGAGGCAGGAATTGTGATCAAAGTTTGGGGATAAGTTGGCAGGAGTTGTGATCGAACGTTTGGGGGTAGCTCAACTGTTAGAACTAATTGAGACTGAACTCCCTTAAAGAATTAATTTAAAATGTTACTAACTATGTAACTGGAACCTGCAAAAAAAATTCTTTACATTTTGCGGATTCCGCTTACATTTGGGGATTCCGGGACAACTCCTTTTTACTACACACATATTTCATCATTTGTTTGTGGATTCCACAAATTGTTCCGTATTCTGCAAATACTGTTAGGGATTCTTCAAAATTATTTTGATTTAGCAGCGAGTTTGAGCGGTGTACAGCAATTTTGTACAGTGCTATAGCTATTGGTTTGTGGAATCCAAAACAGCGAAAAAAAATCAAAGAAAAGTAGCAATGTTTCAGATTTTGCAACAAACCTGGTTTTAACCTGTTGCGGAGCCCGCTTACACTTCACAAAAAGCAGAATTTGGCCTCGAAAAAAAATCAGCGCGACCTTTATAAAAGTGTGAACTGCGGTCATCGACTCAAAAAATTGCAGTGTCCTTGAAAGGTTTGACTCGCCAGTTTCTATCAACGTCTTAGTCGGGACGATGGTGCAAAAGAAACAATCAAAAAATAATGTGTCGGAAAAAATCTATTATGTTGTTGCTAGTTTTCTGAAAGAATCCAGTCGACAAAATTATTTGTTTCTCGTCGTCAGTGGATTCACTCAGTGAACATCTTTTTGATCAGTTTTTTTCTTCTTCTGCAAATCACATTGGGAAATGATTTGGAATATGCGTATT